GCCAAATCTCCACAATTTTTTTAAATCTCTAAACACATGTCTACAGGTTCTGTGCGGACCCACACTTACAGCGGCCGTCAAATTTAATTGCAACGACTCCTCGACCGATACGTTAAGTAAATGATAATTTATGCGAAAGAATGGCAAAGAGATGGGCCGTTGAAGACCGAGTGTCCAGCGGACGAGTCCATCGGTTTTGACCTCAAATTTAGTTTCGCAACGACTCGAGAGGAATGAATTCGGAAACTTATTGCCCGGAATTAGTGTAAAGTTTGTATTAAATAATACATTAGGTGTCTCTCCGCTCAAGTCCTCCACTTTGACTGAATTTAAGTCATTGTCGACAACGGCTTTCCCTTTGGATACAATTTTAAAGTAATTAATTTTTTTAAATAATTGGCAATAATTGCTATTAAAATCATTAATTGAATACCGCATCGAAACTGGTCTCCAATCCATTGTCCTCTAACACAGCGTTTTGTTTGCAAATAATTCCAGTATTGATTGCATTGAAAGGTCACGTCTTCTCCTTCATTATAACGAGATTTGTCTGGCATTAGACGCGATCGGATCGGACGCTCCGGTCGGCCACAGAAGCCGTTCACTTCAAATCCTATCACTTCATTCAATTCATACAAAATACAAACTATTGCTAAAACTTTTGCAAAACTCATTATTCAATAAACAGTTAGAACTTCTGTTAGAAAATACTTATAGAATTTATTCTTATAATAAAATGCTATCGCTTTTATACTAGAGGATGCAATCAACATCCTCTCTCTCTCTCTCTCTCTCTCTCTAAGTACATATAAACTGCACTCAATGTTAAGGTCCTTACGTAAGTGTTTTGTCAAAATATAATTAATTATAAAACATTTTGTGCATTAATATTGATATAATATAAAAAATTGTTATTATTCGCAGAAATGCTAATTGAAATGCTATCAAATATAGTCGTATAATGTCTTGAATTAATTAAATTTTAAAATTTTATTTTCGCAACAAAAACATTCTGTTTTAAAAATATTATTTTAATAAATACACAAATAATTGATTTTATCACTACATATAAAATGTCCTTCATGTAAAATATAAATTATAATGTAATTTATCATAAAATTATAATTTATTCACAAAAAAGTCAAAATAATATTATATTTCTATAATAATTTAACAGAATAGTTTAATTTGTAAAATGATATTGGTTGCTTTCAGAGGTATATTTAATGACAAATAACCATGGTTATACTTTCCGTCTGGGTAAGCTTATCATTAGTTTCTTGAACTGTTTTGTCAACAATTTTGTTATATTTCCGACAAATGTATTGTCAATGTATGTAAAATCTAACTCACAATGAATTGCATTTCCAATACAATAAAGCATTTAATGAACTCATTTAGAGATCAATTGACTCTAAATCAACAATTACTGACATTTATAAAGATTTGTCTGACTTTAATCAATAGATAATTACAGATGTAAATATCATGTTTAAATATATTACATAAATTATGCATAATATTTATTATAGTCTCACTTTTAATTGCAAATTATATATACCGGTAATTATATTTGCAATCACTAAAAACATGACAATATTTCCTCATTTTTGTACTTTTAACAGGATTTAAATTAAATTAATATTAAATCTTAAATAATATTTTATAAAAATTGTAAAAATAAAAATTAAAAATCTAGATGAAAATAAGATTAACAAAAGATTTTATTTTATATTGACATTCTCGATTAAATATGCTAATCAACATAATAAATTGCTAGTGTACCCCAAGTGCAACCGTACTATGTGAACACCACTAATTAATTACATTTGCTATTAAAGGCAATAATTGATTATTTACTTAGGGTATTGATATACTAATTGCTCTACACATACAACTTAAGTTAGTTATGCAGTAGTGATAAAATTGCAACAATTCTAATAATATTTACTGTCTAATTTTATTAGCTTTCCCTAATCTCTCTCTCTCTCTCTCTCTCTCTCTCTCTCTCTCTCT